GACAAAATAAATAATGCATTTCATGAGTTCTATTCAAAATTATATACTGCAGAGCCCCCTGAAGATCGGCTGTTACTAGACGACTTCTTCCATCATTTGGAGATTCCCTCAATTGATCAGAATGTAAAGGAACATTTGAAGACCCTGTTTCTGAAAATGAGATTACGCAAGCAATTCATGCCATGCAGAGTGGTAAGTCACCTGGTCCTGACGGCTTTCTGTCAGTTTTTTAATGCCTTTTCAAAGCTCCTCTCCCCCTTACTGACTAAGATGTTGAATGAGTTATTTATGTCATACTCTATCCCTCCATCACTGTGCGAAGGGTCAATTTCTGTACTCCTCAAGAAGGGCAAAAAAAACCCTTGATTGTGCATCCTATAGTATGCCTTCTTCAATATTCTATTCTGTTCAGATATTCTTCATCTCTTTAACATCCTTTACTCCAAGCCCTCTCACAGGTGAGCAGGTGTGAACAGAGGAGGCAAGAAGGGAGCTAGGGAAAAGGAGAATGACACGGCAAACAGGAAATATCTAAGAACTCAAATACAATCAAAAATACCTAGGACAAATAACAAAAACTAAAAACAGAGTCCAAACACAAAACAACCCACCAAAGGTTGGCGAAGCCAAGCAAAGTCTCTGGAGGCTGGCCATTAGGCCGGGGATGAGGGAGGACCTCTGCAGGTCGGTGATGAAGGAGGACCTCGGATGGCCCTGAAGTAGGATGGGCCAGGTGTTTAAAGACATCAGTGATCCTATTACAGATTGTTTAGTGAGAGCTGACAGGATTGAGAAAGACTCCTAAATGAACCATTAATCCTGGAAAATGTCATGTTGTATCGGTGTCTGCTTATGTGCGGTAAGGTAAGGTTTGTAGCAGTCTCAAACTGTACCCTGCTAATGATAACGTATTATTTCTTTTCTCCCCTCTATTCCCCTATTGTGAAAATTTTTTCGAAGCTGAGTAGAATCCTCCAATTTTAGCCTATATTAGTGATAACCAGGCTGACTTTATTATTACAATATATTTAATGGTTTTGAATCAGCTGTACACAGCTTTACTTGTTTCAAATATCTCCTTTAAATGTCTTTATCTATAGATGAACAAACAAAAGGAACAATGGCAAGAGGAATGGCGCTGTCCACTTCTACAGGCAACAGCATTTATTTGGAGGAATCCCATTCTCATTCTCTCTCCCATTCTCTCTTTCCAAAATGACAAAAGGATTAAGAAGAAAATCAGGATGGCTCACCCATTGATTGCAAAGCACTGCACTGAAGTTATGGCCAATGCAGGAGTAGCCAGAAGTGCCACAATAAGAAACTTTTTGAACAGTTTTTGCACAGATAACATTTCTCTATATTTGCTTGGGTTCATCAAAGATTTGCTGACCAAACGAGAAAACAAAAAAGATGGAATGGTTGAAGATTTGGATTTGGAAAAGTTTTCTAATCTGATTTTAGAGATCAGCAAGATGGAGGACAAAAATCAGAGTGCACCAGTCCTCAAGGTTGCATCAAACAAGTTTGATAAGACCTCTTTGTTCCCCCAGGCACTTGCCAGATTTTGTTATGGAGAACTAAAAGACTACAAGGAGGGAGAAATTAGGGCAAAGAAGGAAATAGAACGTGAGCCCAAGAAATCTTTTATTGCTGACACACTGGGCCAAGTTCATAAAAATCATCTAAGAGAGAAGAAGCTCTTAATGTAGCCAAGAGAACTATTGCAGTTGGCCCAGAAGGCGATCAAAGCTTTTGAGCATGAAGAACATCTTGCAGAAGAGGAGCATAGAAATAACATGCCAGAAAATGATAAATCCAAAGTGCTTCGGGGTTTAAATACCAGAGGGCAGTTTGGTTTCCTACAGGTCTGTAACATTCTGTTTGACAGCCCTGTCCGCCAAAATCAAGACTTGGAAGGCAGTGCTTACATAGAATGTGTCCATGGGCTTGGTCCTGGATGCACTTGGAGACAAGAAACTCTTTACATTCAGAGATCTAATAGAGAATTTGAGGAAGATGTTGAGAATTTTTTTCCAATTTTAATATTTATTACATCCTTCAACAATTAAATATACAGTGAAACCAGTGATGACAGTGTCAGTACTGTAACGTGTACAACATTAAGTGATTGTACAGAGAGGGACTGAACCCCTCCCGACCCTTCCGTACTCCCCCCACCTCAGCTAATATTTCTCTCCATGCTGCAGTCACAGCCAAACAGGAACAGAAGAGGCAAAGCTACAATGAGAAAAGGCAAAGAGAGCACAATGTTAGAGAGTGAACAAACCGATTATGTAGAGTGGAAGAATATAGATAGAGTGAAGCAAAATGATGAAAAAGGGATCCATATTTTCTCCAGAAGTCTAAACCTACAGCAGCATAACTATAGAGGTAGCTCAGGATAACCTGAGCCACTCTAACTATAAGCTTTATAGAAAAGGAAAGTTTTAAGCCTAGTCTTAAAAGTAGACGGTGTGTCTGCTTCACGGACTAAAACTGGTAGTTGGTTCCACAGGAGAGGAGCCTGATAACTAAAAGATCTGCCTCCGATTCTACTTTTAGAAATTCGAGGAACCACTAGTAAACCTGCAGATTGAGGAGAGTGAAGTGAAGTGCTCTGTTAGGAAGAGCAGAGAAAATAATATCTCTGATATAAGAAGGAGCTTGGCAGTTTAAGGCTTTAAATGTTAGCGGGAGGATTTTAAATTCTATTCTTGATTTAACAGGAAGCCAATGAAGAGAAGCCAGGATAGGAGAGATATGATCTCTCTTTTAAATTTTCATCAGAACTCTGGCTGCAACATTTTGGATCAGCTGAAGGCTTTTAACTACAGTTTGTGGACTTCCTGATAGTGAAGAATTACAATAGTCCAGCCTTGAAGTAACAAATGCATGGACTAGTTTCTCAGCATCACCCCTGGACAGGATATTTCAAATTTATGCAATACTCCTCAGATGAAAGAAGGAAATTTCAGAAACCTCTTTGATATGGGATTTAAATGACAGGTCCTGATCAAAAATAACACCAAGATTTTTACTTTATTATCTGAAATCAGTTTAAACCCATCCAAATGAAGTGACTGGCTAATCAGCTTATTTTTCAAAGACTCTGGTCCAAAGACGACATATTATAACAAAAAGGCTGCCAGACTGAGAGCCTTGATGATTTAATTGAGTGTTTTGAATCCATCAGCAAGACCAGCTTATTTGATAGCACCACAGTCAGGGAGGGAAATGGCTACCTTAGGGTGTTGTAGGATGATGAATTCAGATTTTTCCTTAAGCTATTTTATCAAATCATGCCTCACGTTGACATGATGTACCAGGAGCTGCAGAAGAAGGAAATTGACAAAGTCTTCATCAAACATGACCTCCAGAGATTTACAGGCAGTGTGCAGGTCATAAGGTATGAGTAATATATTATATTTTATTATAAGGATAATGTTCATACCCTCTTGATTTGTGTAATTATCATTTGTCTAACAAATTTGAAAATAAAATACCTAGCCACTCCAACAAAATCAGATAAAAACCCCACAGAAAGAATTAGGAGACCACTTAAGGATTTACGATTTTTATTCCTACTTTATTTTTTACTTCTACCTTTATATAATTTTTCTATGTATATAATATGTTTAAATCTTACAGAATGTTTATACTTTAACTTGCAGTGGCCTTTTAAAATTTTTTTTGTGGCCGTATATAATAACTGTTTATCGTTTCTGTTTTTCTAAGATGGAAAATGTACATACTGTTTGTATAATAACAACCACTCTTGGTATGTCTTCCTTCAGGGACCAAAGCTCTTCTGAATTACAACAGACAGAAGCAACAGGAGACACAAATTCAAGGAGAGCCATAGGAGACAAAGAGAAGCAGAGGCTGACTAAAGAGGTGTCTTCATCTATTGACCAATAAGCTGATTTTCTTTGTTTGGTTAGCCTACATACAAGGATATTTATTCTATTTTTTAATCAGTGTTGTACTATATCCCAATACCAGTGCTTCCATATCTCAACAATTAGCTTTCACAGCACTGAATAAATATACAGTGTATGTAAATACTTTTATTTTTTGACAGAACTGTGACACAATCCTGGCCCATGCCAGAAAGAGGTTCTCCTTTCCTGACCATATTGTAAGTGCGACGCTACTACAAGGAGAGATGTTTGAACAGCATTAAGTGCATTCCCAGTAGAGGCTCTGAACACCACTGTCAGGGCATGCCCCATGCTGAACCAGGCAGAGTTCAAGACTGAACTATCTCTTATTTACCAGAGTCCTGATTTCAAGAGCTGCTGTGGTGCACTGCGATTGTACCAGTCTCTACAGAGGTACAACCTGCAGGATACTTTTTCTGAAACCGTAGTTTTGCTGAACATCCTTATAACTACTCCAATGACAACAGCTGAAGCTGAGAGGTGTTTCTCAACACTGAAGAGAATAAAGACCTTGATGAGAAATGCAATGGCACAGGAACATCTGAATGCACTGGCAATTCTTTCCATGGAAAGGGATTTAGTCAGGAGCATGCCTACTTTCAATGAAACGGTGATAGACAGATTTGCTGCATTGAAAGAAAGAAGAGCAAAATTTCAATATAAATCAGTACCAGTAGTTATCCAATTAACTGACCAATCAACATTAAAGTTTATTTAATTATCTTATTTTAACGCAAAAAAAAAAAGAGAACATTATAAAAGCGCATATAATTGTGTTCTTGCCTGATGCTTATTTCCTAAAATTTGTAACTAATATCACTCATCTTCTCAATGCTAAGTTGAAACATTTACAGATGAGCTTAATCTCTTTTAGTTCAGGGCACCCCCTTGTGGATATATATATATATATATATATATATATTCAACTGTACATTTGCTAATCTGCAATTGTAAATCTGTAATGACTAATTATCTGTAATGTTTACATATCAGCTGCACTTAAAATAAAATGACAACTGAATCGGATGATTTTGAGTACTTTTATTTTATTATTGCTAAAAGACGTGACTTTACATCAAAAAGTGTGAAATGTTAATTGTAAGACCAAACTCACAAAGCACTGATGGTAAACAGGGTTTACGTAGCTGTCAATTTACCCATTAGATGGGTCACTTTAGCTATCACCTCAACTATTTGTCCCCCTGATACATTTGGCAGGAGCCGCCACTGGTCATGTAGTCATCTTTGTCATCTAAAAGCTGTAGGTTTGTTTCCAGCCACCTTCTGCCACATGTCGATGTGCCCTTTGGTTATGCGTTTAACCCCAAGTGTGCTCTACAGGAAATCATTCCAATTGGACAGTGACTAGGAAAAAGTCAGTCTACAAACAGGTGGTTTCTGAGTGTCACATCAACATCTAAAGTGACCAATTAATAAAGGAGGCTTTAAACAACACAGAACTGTTTGAACAAGGTATTAGCTGAACTTGAGATATGTTACAGTAATAGCCATTCAAAATTTCCCCACTTTCCTTGATGGGCCCTTGGTTTGTCCATGGCTGGTCCCCTACAATTCCTATTTAAACATAAATCTTTGTTCTAAAATTTTCTGTCATGATTTGTGGACGTTAAGATCAAAAGATAAGCGTAATCTTCTGGTCAGACCCTGTAATTACGTGAAATGGTGGAGTCAGAGAAAAAATAATATGCAAGAGGGGTCACTCCAGCGGGTGAAAGTTAGAGGGGATCTTGCTAATGCTACGTTCAGAACGCAAGAGCAGCAAAAACACGCATGCAGCTTCATTTTGGATGTTTGTACAAGTTTAGTTCTGATGCTCCAGCTGCGCGGTACAAAAGTGGGTCTGATGCTCGTTGGGAGGAGCTACCCTATCCTTTCTTTGCCTGTAACAATGGCAGCTATATATGCAGTGATCTGTGGTTAAAACATAGTTTTAATATGTTTTTCAGTGATTAAGTCCACCTGAAAACTTAATCCGTGCAGTAAATTCATCCAGATTACCATCCTGCATTAAAATATTATTTTGCATTCGGAGCAGCTCAGACCTCCACATACTGGCGGTGCGCTGTCGGTAAGAATCCCATTCAACAGCAGCCTACGGCCCGGTTGTCTCTTTGCGGTGGCGACTGGAAGGTGGTTCTCATGTAAGTAATCCAAACTGCAGACACCTGGATAATAAAAGTGAACATGTTTTGCTGGCAGATTACGGCATTTTAAGTTAATTTAGGCGTAAATAAACTGTTTCAGAGGAGTGATCATAGTGATCTGTATCATCAGCGATGTGTCTGTCTCTCTGCCAGCTCCCAGATCAGCTTCTCTGATTGGTTGATGTGGCGCATCGGGCAGCAAAACTTCAATTTTTCCAACTCCAACAGCAGCTGCATGGATTTAATCTAGAAGGTGTGAATTACATCTTGTCTTTATGAGGAAATCAGCGATTCACAATCAGAACCAGAAGAGAGGGAGTTTAATTTAGCTACAGTGAAGTGCTGCAGGTTACTTTCTGTGGCACCAAAGATGGAGGTTACAGGTCCAGTGCCCCTAGTGGCTAGATCTTAAACAGTGTTGCTTGAGGTTTCTAAAGACAAAAACAAAAAACCCTTTTAAACATTTTCTCCCATCACATAAAGGCTGATTTTATTGGTGAAAATATTTAATGACCTGCATAAAACTGCAACATTACATCATCTTGGTCTGTTTTAAAACAGATTTATCTTTAAATATTGCAAAGCACATATCATTAATTTACAGATTGGATACAATATATTCAACCTGTGGTTGTTGCTATGGTAAAATGTCATTGGTTGATCTGAGCGATGAGGCCCTCCAGCTCTGGTCGTGCCTTGAAGCGTGCTTGGAAATCTGCCTCAGTGTGCTGAGAGGGGAATAAAAAAAAAAGATAAAAAGAGAAAATTAACAAGCTTTAGAGAGGCTTAACAGCATTAATTAATAAGTTTATTTACAGCTGTTTATTTTGGTACAGAAATGTTATTGTTCGAATCCACCCACAAGCCAATTAATGCCCCCAGAAAGTGTTTCCCAAGAAAAAAAGGACAAATGAAAAAGGTCACCAGTTTTACAGTCTCCACATATTTTCACCAACATCTTCTCTTATTCATGGGTGAGTGTGTGCGTGAATGTGGAGTGAGGTGCTACAGGCCATTTCAATTTATCTTAATGTTTTTTCTCCATTACAGTTAGTTCACAAAGTATCTCCAAGGCTTTTTCCTACTTTGTGTGCAGAATTATTAGGCAAACGAGTATTTCGACCACATCATCCTTTTCATACATGTTGTCCTACTCTAAGGACAACATGTATGTTGTCTTTGGAGAAGGAGCTTGGCAGGCTTGAAAGCCAACTACCAATTAAGTAGATCAGGTGAGTGTTCATCTCTGTAATGAGAAAGGGTGTGGCCTAATAACATCAACACCCTATATAAGGTGTGTTTAATTATTAGGCAACTTCCTTTACTTTGGCAAAACGGGTCAGAAAAGAGCTTAGACAGACTCTGAAAGACATCTGACAATTTTTGACTTTTCAGAGGGGTGCAGCAATTGGAAATTGTCAACCTTTTGAAGCAGGATAATCGCACAATCAAGCGGTTCATGGCAAATAGCCAACAGGGGCGCGAGAAGTGTGTTGAAAAAAGACGTCATAAAATAACTCCCCATGAATTGAGAAGGATCAAGCGTGAAGCTGCCAGGAAGCCATTAACCACCAGTTGTGCCAAATTTCAGAGCTGCAACATGTCTGGAGTGCCGTGAAGCACAAGGTGTTCAATACTCAGGGACCTGGCCAAGGTAAGGAAAGCTGAAAAACGGCCACCTTTGAACAAGACACACAAGACATAATGTCAAGATTGGTCCAAGAAATATCTGAAGATTTCTCCAAGGTGTTTTGGTCTGAAATGAGAGTGATGGGCCAGATGGATGGACACGAGGCTGGATCAGTAAAGGGAAGCAAGTTCCTGACTGACTCAGAAGCCAGCAAGGTGGTGGTGGGGTAGTGGTATGGGCTTAAACTACACGCAACCTTTCCTCCCTCATTCATAAAAATCACCTGAACCGTCTGAAACCGTATTCTAAATATCTTTATTGGCACCATTTAATTACGATGAGCAAAAAGAAAAGAAAAGGAAAAAAACGACCTGTCATTATAATCACACCTTTTATAATCATTGTTCACTTCATGAAACCATCGAGCAAATAAAGCTTATTCAGCTCATGAGTGATGGAAATCTTCACTGCTTTGGCTGAATCTCAAACTACATTGTTAAAAAAAAATCTAAATCTAGATAAGTCGTTTTTTCTTAAAATGAGTGCATTTATTCTTGGATTGAGGAGGTAAAAGAGACATTTTGCCAATGGAACAAGAGAACTTACACTTAAAATAAAAAACACAATTGCATTGTCTAATTTAAAGTGCATATTATTAAGAGTGAAAATACTCTTTCCATTGGTGATGCCACACTTGATGAAATACATTACTTATTTCTAGATCGTTTTTCCAGTGTGCCCCCTCAGCCCTGTAGCGCAAGTTGACATGACATACATTTTCCCCCATTCTTTAAAAATCAATCAATAAATAAACTGCTTCAAAGAGGACCTCCCCTTTTGGGATCAATGATATGTTTTTTCTTTGCCTAACTTAACTTTTAACTCTAGCTTTTTAAGGGCTGAATGGACTGTAAGTGCCTTGATGAACTGTAAAGTGCCTTGAGATGATTGGCGCTATATAAATAAACTGAATTGAATAGTCCACTCACCCTATCCACTATGTGGTATGGGAGCGCCCTTAAAGTTCAAATAGAAAACACATACTTATAGTTTCTAATTTGATAGTATGCACAAAATTAAATACATCACGAGTGAAAAATTGTTGTTTATAGCATAAAATAATTCACTTAGATAGAAGACCGCCCAAAATTCCTCATTAAGTCACGTGACTCACTGAGGGATGCCGTGACATCAGCAGGTCAAGGATTTAAGGGCCGTTGACCAATTCAATTCAGTTTATTTTAAACGGAATTGAACTGAAATTGAATTGAGACTTCTGCTTTAAAAAAAAGAGGATGTTATTGCTGGCAGGGAGCCATCCTGTGACATTATGGGATGTTTTGCTGTAATGTGATCCTTGCTGTGATAAACGTTTAGTCCACTTTAGGAAACTCAATGTTTTTTCTACTGCTAAGCTATTAGCAGGCATGACGCAGAACAAATGTGCTAAATTCACACGTTTGGAGATTTATTTGCCACAAAAAATTCCGAAACAATGAAGAGACTGGGCTCAACTCCTGCAGAGCTGAAATAAAGAGCTGACCAAGCCTCGTCTTTAAGTAGAAGCTGTTACTGCTGCGAGCCAGCAAGCTAACGGGGCAAGAATTCTTGTCTCTACTCTAGGGGCTATATGTAGAGCTCCCCCTAGAAGTTTGGTGGGAGAAAGTTTAGTAGATATCAGCGGCTTATAGCCCAGTGCAGCTTTTATATCTACATTTCCAGTTAAAAAAAAAAAACATAAAAACTTAGGGGTGACAGGTTATAGTCAGGGGCGCTCTATATTCTGCTAGTTGATATCAGAATTATATCAACTAAAATTCAGCAATATATTATGATAAGGTATTTCTTTTTAACATCCAGTCGTAATCCCAACAAAAATGATCTAGATGCAGTTTGCAAAACAAAACACTAGAGATCAAGTCCACTTGAAGGAAACTGTATGAACAGATGACTATGAATCACAGAAATAGAACAAAGCATCAGATCTGACTCACCTCCTTCACAGAAAGCTGAACTCCCTCTGGTTGGTTCTTTAGAAGGACGTCCACAAGGACAGGACACAAGTAGGCGTCCAAACTGCTAAACTAGACACACAAATGATACGCTTGCTCAGTGTCCCAAATGTTGGCAAGCATCTGAACAAACCTGCAGCTGGGTAAGCTTTATAGGAACCTGGACTACTCGTTGGTGGGTCTTCAGGACAGCGTCCACGTACGTCTTGTTGCCTTGCTCCTGCATTAGCATCACTTCTGTGCTCTTGGTTGGCAAAGCATAACTGCAGGGAACATAACAGACAGAAAGGTCGCATCAGCACAACACACTAGCCAGTTTATCAGGTAAAATAAAACACAGACGAGACAACAAGGAGAGATTTTTAAATGTTCTACAGCCGTTTAGATGTTAACCTCAGATCAACATCTTCCACTAGTCTGGTCCTCTGGGTCCACTGACAGAAATAATAATCAGGTCATCAGCAGGACTTATTGGGTCATTCACATGTGGAAGCAGAGACACATCTTAAAGATGCAGGATTAAATTAAAGACCATTGACCTATTTTTTTTTTTTTTTTACATTTCCAATCAGTTTTATGTCCAGAATATTTTGGAAACTTTTTATGCATTTTCAGGATAACTTTCCCAACTATTCCTTTTCTGAGTCAAACAAAAACTGCATCAGATTGTCAGGAACGACAACTGGAAACTGGAAGCTTCTGGAAAACCCACTGTTCACAGGGCTGCTGGTATTCTCCTCCGTCAGAGAGCTGACCAAAAACACTGCTGATCTTACACACGAAGGAGAATACGCCAGCTCTCAGGCATGGCAATGGCAGCATCATAATGAGGGCATGTTTCTACCAGCGAAGCGGGTGTGTTGCTGAGGGATGGGATGAAGGAGGTGTTTTGGTTCCAGGATTCTAATTGTAATTGCCCTCTGCAGGACGTTAAAGAAAACGTTGCTGATTTCCGTTCTCTGTTGGGCAGCCGCTCCTCGAATCAGGGTTTTCCTTTCATTATAAGTCCAGCTAATTCTCCCCACAGATCAGGCCTTTCACTGAGTCATATATCAAATACAGATGGAAAAGCTTGGAAATTAATCCAACTATTCTGCTTTTTTTAGCTATGTTTCTGTTTCATTAAACCCAAAATGTTTGGCTCCATAGTTTTAATCCTTTCAGAGGGAGTTGAACCCCCCGATCGTGGTCACCTTTCAGCCACACGGATTCCCAGCCGGTTGCAGAGGTTATGGATGTACTGAGAGTAATGCTCCACCACCGTCATGTCATAACCAGACACCTGCACGTTTAGAGTCCCGTATGATGTATCGGTCGCTGGAACCATCTGCCTCTGCTGGCTTCTGTCTTTCTTTTTCTTGGGCTGAAATAAAGAATAAAAATAGATCAATAATAGCAAATCTTTTGACTCATTTCACATTAGAAACTGCTTTTAGCTTTTGAAGTAACTCTTCATCTGCAGATCAAAGTGCAAACTTGTTACTGAAAAGAAAGGAAGGTCAGTGAATCATTTTTTTTCCAAATGTCAAAAATCTCAGTTGACTTAGACAGACTTTGTCATTTTGTACGGTATATAGTGTATACAAAATGAAATTGCGTTCAGTACAGCTCTCAAAACATTTCCATTTCTTAAGTGCTTCCGTGATAAAATTTAAACATGGTGATCAAATGTAAACATAAGACTGGGATATGATTTACAGTTTCGAACATTTTTTCTTTAACTCCATTTTATACAACATTAAGCAATCTATTTTTTTTTTTAAATAAAAACTTTAAAAGATATAAAAAAGCCGATTAAAATCAGAATAGCTGAATCTTTGATGAACATTTTAAAAGTTGAATGGTGTTTCTAGCTGAACGTTTGCTGAAGTAGTTAAAGGTCAAACATGGTGAAGTTTTAGCTGAAATCTGACAATTATACATGCATTTCAGTTGGACAAATAAAAGAAGAAAAAAAACACATAAAAAGCTGAATATCGTGAAAACTACAAAAAAATATATCTTTACCAGAATTCTCCTGAACAAGCTGAACGTTTTGATACCAAAATTGTTGAAATTGCTTGAAAACGGCAGGACTAGTTTAAGTCAGAAAAATAAAAAGAACAAAACAAGTGGGAATACATAAGCATCACCACTTGATAAACACGTTAAATGTGGAAACCTTCCACTGAACACTAAGATCTGCCTAAAGAAATATTTTTCTGTTTGACTGAGTCGAAGAGCGGCAACTGTTCAATAAAGCAAATCACTGCTGTGATGACTGAACAGTGTGTCAGAAGGGCCAAGTTTAATTTGTGGCAGCAGCATCTGGTAGTGGCACTTCCAGCGGCACTTTAACTGGCATGCGACTTCCACATAGTGTCCCTACGCCGACAGGCCACCTGCCGCACTTCTACCGATGTTAATGGGCGAATGGTTTGATGTTGGGAATATTTAATGCCTGTTTAAAGCTACTTTCAATTAAGGATTTGCTAAATTCACATAATTTAATGAAAATTTTAAAACAATTTAAGGGAAAGTTATAAGATAAATGTTTGAGTGACGGGCTTGACTTGTAATAAGAAAAAAATTATGTACTGATATGAAAACAAATCGCCTGAAAATATGCTGGCACATTTAGGAAGTCAGTGGCCATTATGTGCCACGAAATTGCACGGTGATGCCAAGTTCCTACCAAGATGCCTGACTGGTTTTAAAAGCCTTCAACATCCCACGGCGGCCGCTGCTGTTTTTATGGAAACAAGGCTGATTATTGGCAACCGGGATGTCAGGATAGGAATGAGCTACTGAGTAAATAAGTAAATAAATAAGTACTTTCAATTGATGGCGTTACTGTTTTTGAATTGATAAAAAGTGTTGGACACAAAATATACAGTAACTCTACTTCAGATGTAAACTAGGCCAATATATCCTAATGCATGGTAAGTATATGACAGGCAGCAAGGATGGCAAATACTCACTGCACAAACATTCGGGTTATTATTATATAGCATGAGAGCTTACTGCAAGTTTTTCCAGAAAACAAAATATCTTAAAAATACGCTGGTACTCGGTAGAATTCTTTGGCCACGAAGATGCCACATATATATGTCTGTATGGAAACAGGTAAAATAATGTATGATAGGTCTATGCTCCATGTTATTATTGATTACTAACTACAAATAGACTACGGATAGCTTAGCTAGACTGGTAACAAATACAACATAAAATGTTCTAAATGCATTTAGAAAAATCTTTATTGTTACCATTGCATTAATTGAAAGTAAACATAGAACAAGCTTTAAATAATCAGAAAATCAAAAAGTTTGCCCAAAAACAGCAATAAAAGTGCGGCACGGAGCCTGCCGGGTTAGTGCCACCTTGTAGCAGTCAGATGCCAGTGAAAGTGCCACAAGAAGTACCAGTACTCTCCAAGTGCCACCGGAAGTACCAGATGTCTCTGCGGCAGAGGTGTAACGTAACTAAGTACAAATACTTTGTTAGAGTAGGTATTGATGCTGAAGAAGAGTGTTGTTTAAATATTTTCGCTGATGATCATTTTAAATTCTGGATTACTTGCAGATTAAAAGAATAACTCCTCAGATAGCCTTAGAATATTCTCAAATCCTGTTTATTTTATTTCCACATACATAAAACCAGTATATTTGATTCTGTTGAGGCTCTATGATGAGGCCGAGAAAAAAAAAAAGTTTTCATGTGAATTAAAATAATTGTCATTCTTTATCCCCGTGGTAACCAAAATGGTTTTGAGTATCAAATGATTTTTCTGGGTAATGGTATCAAGTTTGATATTTCGTGACAACCCAGTTTCCAGCATCATAAACTGAACCTTGAGCAGGAGACGTTTTTTTGGACTCACAGCCTGTTTGGGTAACAGATGCCTCCACCGTCCAATCCCGTGTGTCGGCATGCCTTTGTACTGTCTCTCATTTAGACAAGCAGCCCCTAAAAGGATGAGCTCTCTTTAATCAAACAGTTCAGGAACACACAGGCATAAACAGAATGGTGAAGCAATGCCACTCACACAATAGAGGGTGCTGGATGGAAGGCGTGGCTCTGCAAAGATCACATGACAGAGATCATTTAGCAACATCAAGAACCTCAAAGACGACTAAAGCAGAAACAAGCTCTTAAAATCCTGGACATTCATTTGGTGAAGCCTAACCCTAAATGCTGATAGTTTTGATTGAGGTTCTTAATCCTTTCCTAATATAAACATTACTTGCTATAAGGAGTGGTTTATATGTTTGTGTTAACAAATCGAAAAATGTCTTATCTGCAGAAACCTGTTGTTTTGTAATCATTTCATTTTATGCTTTGTAATATCAAAATTTGCATGCATCGTTTATCTGATTCCAAAAGTTTAAACATTAAAACAGATGTTATGAGACAATCACTCCGTAGTTAGGAAGCCATTTTACCAAGTACTTTCTCACTCTTAGTTGATTAAAACTGTTGGTTACTCTGTCATTAAGTCAGTACCATTCATACTTTTTTGTATGGAGACAATAAATACATAGTTCTCTGACCAGGCCCCTGTTTTCCTCCACACATCTGTGTAGCAGCAAACTTTGAACAGGACTACTGATTGGTTTACGTTGAACAATGACTGGATTTTTTGCACCTCATCCATAGAAACTAATTTTTAAATGGATGCTGAAGCTTGGCTATTAAATTTCTAGAATAGATACAGTTGGATGCATGCTGAGATTAAAGCACACACCAATGTTTGGTTTTTTTTTTTAAATAGGGCTTGGGCGTCATGAAGTAATTACTTTGAGTGGCCGCCATGTTGATTGCCTCCTTTACCGCTGCTCAGACTACTGCCTATGACTACCGCATACTGTACTCCTTCTCAGCCGTGTTTTAATTTGATTAATTTCACCTTAACTTGATTTCAACCATGGTAAACCATTGCTGTATTGTGGGCAGTAACAGCGCAACACATGATCGCCATGGGAAAAACATAGAAAATGGATTAACTTTCCACCGCTTTCCTGCCTGGAGGCGCAACCACGGAGACCAAGTGTCAGAGAGAAAGAGTCGTCGGCTAGCTTGGATCGCGGCTGTAAGACAACCGAACATAACTTTCAACAGTATCCTGATGTCAATGAGAGTGTGTTCCCTGCATTTTCATTCTGGTAAGTTAAAGATGCACGGTTTTATTTTATAGCCAACCTTGTTTCTTTCCTTCAAGGTTGGGATCTTTTTTATGGGAAAATAATAAAAACGGCAGCGGGAAAAGGCTCAAATACGTGAGAAACCTAGAGGGTTTAGGGAGGGTTGGCAATTAACGTTACTAACTACACCTTTGAAACACATAGCAGCTAGTTAAAAGTGCATTACATGCGTGAGTGGTTGTTAGCACTAACGGTTAGCAGTTACTAAACTAGCAGGTTCCAGAGCCCGTCTAAGCACAGCTTACCTTTGTAGGGATTACGGTGTTCCCACTGTTTGCTGGCTTTATGATCTGCAGCTCCTGAACCCATCCATTCATGAACTGCACATGAGACTCCAAGGACTTGTAGCTTCGGAACTGTTTTTAAGCTCACTCATCGGTGCTCCACTCATTGTTTGGAACTTCATATGGAAATTATTAATAATGCTGATTTTGTCAACATACCGGTCCCTGGCTTCTTCGTTTAATATGTACCGGTAAATTCCAGATCCTTTTCGAGATTTTAACATCTTTTTTCTCTCTACTTCTACATCTCTTCTTTCAACAACAACGTTGTATCAGAGCTATGTTTACGTTTGCGTAGCCCTCAACATGGCCGCCATGTCCCACAATGCAACGCCCTATTAACCCAAGCCCTGTTAAAAAAACTAACAAAAGAAAGCTGTGTCCCTTCGGTTACAATTCAACATTAGTGTTACTAAAACAAGCTGAATTGTGTGGTTTGACATGAAAACCCGTAAAAACACTCAAAGTGTGTAAATGCCTTTAATCAGCACTGTTTTTAATCTACAGACTGACCATCAGATCTTCCTGTCCAGCTTTACTGATGTCCAGAAGTCCTGTTCTTATTGCTCCAAATATCACAGCTTCCAGCCATAAGAGGGCATCAGACTTCATGCAAAGTGATATTATGGAAATGCAAAGACATACCTGCTTAACAGCTGCTTCAAGATGGATCTCTGTTGAGTTACGGTCACTTGGAGCTATATAGGATGAGAACAAGCAGGAAAGAGGTCAGAAATGAAATGGCTGAGCAGCAGCATCTTGTTGAACAGAGGGTCACAATAAAGAATCCAGACTCAAAATAAAGACTTTGTGCTTAATCTTGCTCTATGACCCTTTTAGCACACACTTAAAATGTTACTGATGTGTGATTTGAAAAGTATATATTTTAAAGTATAAAGAAATTAAACGAAAAAGAAAAGCTATAATAACTGCTTAAAAAAAAAAAAAAAAATCAATATCCTCGCCCGTAAAGTGAACCACAGGACACAGCTCTGTAGTGACCTTTGGAAAAAGCTAATAGCTAACAGATGAAGTTCTCGTTTAGCTTTACCTTCCGGTATATGTTGCTCATTTTCTCTCCGCTGTATTTAAGAAAAACACCATATGAGTAACAGTAAAGCTAAATACTTCAAACAAACACTAATTCACTTTTAAAAATACATCTACAATGCGGCGGCTGGAAACGGAAGTACTGAAGGAAAGTTGGAACGTCATATTTTCGGTCCGTAAGGCACAATATCAAAATACATGGGTTCCGCTTATGTTTTTTTTGTTTTTCCAATACAATTTTATTTTTATTTGTTTCTGCAAAGAACATTACAGAGCAAGCATATTGCACTATAGGCATTCTTAACAACCTTTTTTTTTTTTTACAGACATTTTCAGAAGATTAAAAAGGACAAAGACTTCTCGAGTTTTGGTTGCTTTCTTATTTTCTAAAAATTGTATGGTGCCAATGTATTGTTTGAGTTAATGCTTAAAAGCAGTACTGCATGGTTTGGAGCCTCTATGTTTGCATTTATGTATAAAGAACTTGGCCATAATAATCAAGTCAATTACATATACCTTATCTGATCTCTTTGGTTGAACCTTCCCTTGATGCCGAATAGTATAGTCTTCCAAAATAAAATAAAATCTTTGTCTATTTTTCTCTTAATTAAGTAATAAATGCCGAACCAGAAGGACTGGATAAGTGGGCAGTTCAAGAATAGATGAACAAGTGTTTCAGGATTATTACAGCAGAAGCTGCAAGTGACATCAATGTTTTTTTAATGTGTTTCTTCATAAGGACTTTGGTAGGATAAATGTTATGGATTATCTTAAATGATATTTCTTTAGTTTTGTTAGTTATCAAATATTGATTTGGAAGCAGCCAGACTTCTTTCCAGTTGACGTAATCCAAGAATCTTCCCCAGTGTGAGATGGCATAAGGTATCACTTTAATGTTCATTTGAAATAAGGCTCTGATTGATTTATTTTTTGAAACAACAAAACATATTTTTCCTACAGAAGAATTCACTGGTGATAACAAGGACAACTGAGAAATGTTTAATTTAAGATGTGAGCCAAAAGCATACAAATAGCCGAAGAGGTGGATTCAAAGACTTTCGTATAATCCCCTGGAGGAATCGGAAGATTAAATTCTGTTAAAAACTCCTCATATGAGAAAAGGCAACCAGCTTTGAAACCAATACCCAATAAAAAGAGATTTATGCTTGTATAGAATGCCCCTGTTATTCCATATAAGATACCTATGGGGGAGAAGTTGTGTTTATAGATCAGAGTCCATGACAAGACGGACCGGCGGTGAAAAGCTGATAACTTAATGCCGCAGTTCTCAAAGTGTGTGGCGCGACCCACTGGTGGGGAATTGAGACGTGACAGGTGGGGCGCGCCAAGTTCCGGTGTGTGTGTGTGTGTGTGTGTGTGTGTGTGTGAGACTATAAATATAGAATGTGTGAGAGCAAACTGTCCTTAAAGCTGTATGTTGCCGCTTTTTAGACCAATCAAACCCACAAAGTAATCATTAATAGCCTACATGCAGTCTAATTAAAAGAACATTAGATATGAGAAAAATTTCACCTGGAACTGAAGTGCCAAAATAATGATTGACGTGACGTCGGCATATTATTTGTAACGGAATAAACTTTCGCGCCCCAGTGTTGCCAACTCAGCGACTTTGTCGCTATATTTTAGACCCCTCCAGCGACTCTTTTTAAAAAAGGGACTAGCGACAAATTAGCGACTTTAGGAGACTCTTACGTGAAAGCACGTATCGTTCCTTTTCTTGTCCTCCAGCGGCAGGTGCTGCCGTGGGGCGCCTCCGTCCCAACCCCGTTCTCCCCCGCTATCGCAGAAGTCCCTCTCAGTGCTGCAGAGACACAGCATGTTTACCCTCAGCGTCCAGACTGCAAATAAAGCGCACATGCGCCGGGATTGACGGCGCAGGTTGATCATAAATAACTGAATTTGAAATATTTTATCTTAAATAAATAGGACCAGTTTATTGAAATTACGTCTGACTCCACCCTGAGGCTCAGGTTTAATGCTCAGACTAATAGTGAATTCTGGTTTGGAGTGGAGAGGGAGTATCCACTCATCGGGCAGAGAGCTGTGTGCATTCTTCTTCCCTTTGCCACATCATATCTCTGTGAGATGGGCTTTTCAACTGTTGCTTCACTGAAAACAAAATACAGATCTCAGCTGAACATTGAGCATGACTTGAGAGTGGCAGTATCAAGCCTGCAACCCCGTTTTGAGAAACTGTGCAATGCAAAACAGGCTCATTGCAGCCACTAATGCAGGGATAAATAGAGCTGTATTGCCAGATGGATTTCACTTCTTTTCTTTTATTAACAGATTGCAGAGTGGCACTTTAATTTTTTCTATCTTTGAGCTTGATACAAATTTTGACACAGCTGCATTTTTATTTTCTTTATTTTTGAGCTTGCTGTTATTTGATGTAGATAGTTTGTATTTAGATACTACTTGTTACTTCAATAAAATTGGAAAATTTTAAGATTGTTGCATATTTCATTAGCATTGTGTTGGGGCGATGGGGACAGGCGGGGCTTGAAAATTCCCCCTTGTCCAAAGTGGGGAATGACAGAAAAAGTTTGAGAACCACTGACTTAATGGGAATTTTATCAATATCATAATTGCACATTATAAAGTTTAATCCACCAAGTTTAGAAATCATATGCAAAGGTATAGCATTCCAAATAGAGTTAGGATATTTGTATATATTTTTTAGCCAATTAAATTTTAAAAGGGTTGTTAAGAGTAGTAAAGTCTAGGAAGTTAAGACCACCTTCATTGTATGGATTCATGAGAACAGCTTTTTTTAAATAGAGTCTTATTTCCCCATATGAAGTTAACTAACATTTTGTCAATGTCATTTAGAAGTTTTTTCTCTAAATGGAGAGATAAAGCTGCAAAAGTCAGACGCGAAATACCCTCTGCCTTGGTTATTAATACTCTCCCTTTAAGAAAAGAGATCTCTTAAGACCCATGTGTTTAGCTTTCTTTGAGTTTTCTGAATAATGGGTTCAAAATTTAAGGATGCTCTTCTTTGTTGATCTTTAGTAATTATTATACCCAAGTAGCTCACTTCATCTTTAACCATTATATTAAAAATAGAGCTGGTGGAGCATTCCTTTATAGCCATGAGCTCACATTTGTTGACATTTACATATAATCCGGAAGCTCATGAAAACTCCTTTAATGATTCCAAAGCAATAGAGACCTGATTTTAATCTTTCAAAAATCTAAGAGAGGGATATCTTGAATATCACTAGATTTAATATGGTCTGCTAAAAGCTGAGAAACCAGTAGAAAAAGGTATGGAGAAACTGGGCTTCCCTGTCTAATTCCTCTTAAAAGATCAAATCTAGAACAGGTTCCACCAGTTAACTTTACTGAGCTATTACCGTTTTTGTACAGGGTTCTTACTGACAATGAAAAATAATGTCTGAAACCAAATTTACAAAAGGAGACTAAGATGAATTGATGTTCCACAGTATCAAATGCTTTATAAAAGTCTACAAATAACAGAAAGCCATCATCTTTCAAAAGATCTGAATAATCTAAAATATCTAGCACTAATTGTATATTGTTGCTTATGTATTGTTGGTCATAAAACCTGACTGTGTTTCATCTATTATGGAGTTTAAGACACACTTAAGCCTTTGTGCGATGAATAACGCAAAAAGTTTTATAGTCATTATTAAGGAAGCAAATGGGGCGCCAGTTGTCCAGAAATAAACTATGTTTATAAGGTTTGGGAATCAGTGTAGTCAGTCCCTGAGTCGTTGTGGTTGGGAGACTTTCTTCACTAAGACTCTCTTTATAATCTTCAAACAGAAAAGGGGCCAGCTCAGAGGTGAATGTATAGTAAAATTATGCTGTTAGTCCATTAGTTCAAGGAGATTTGTTGTTTTTGAGAAGTTTAATAGCATTCAATGCTTCTTGATATGAAATGCGTTGATCACAAAATTTCTTATCAGTTTGACTTAGGGTCTTGGTTGAGATGGACTTCATGAAGGAGTCTGCTGAGGCCTGAGAGAAGTTGGATTCATAAAGTTGTTTGTAGAAATTTGAGCAGAAATTAGCTATTTCAGTGTAGTTTTCAGTGATAATTCCATTGATATTTAATTTATTAATAGAATTATTAATAGAGTGATGCTTTTCAAGATTAAACAAATTAGAATTTTGTTTTCCTTCTTCCAAGCATTTTTATCTTGACCTAACAAAAGCTCCCTTTGCTTTTTGATAATATAGTTCATCTAATTTATCCTGCAGCTTTGTTAACTCAATTAAGAAAGTATTAAGAAAACCATGTTTTCTTAATACTTTCTGGGTTCCGCTTATGTACAGAGCAAAGTTTCTTCTGGTCCGCCTCAGTGGTGCATTCAGGTGAACTGGTATTTCAGAATAGCTTTAAGGAAACATCTTCACCCACATCGTTTTAAACCTTCATAAAGCAGCACGGTCCTGTTCATCACCTGTGAAATAGGATCATTCATAAAACTAAATAAAATTTTTTTGAAAGGTTGAAACCTAAAGTTCTATTGGAGAAAAATCATGGATGGATCCTGCAATATTCCATCTTTGACGATTTCATCTTAACGGTTAAATGGTTTTTGTCTCCCAGAGCTTCCGTTCCACTCTTCCATCAGCATCTGGGGCTTGGTATCAAACTTTAATGCAAAATGTACTTTTCTACATTGTTTTCTTATCTTTGGGGGAAAAAGACATTTCTTTATACACATTTTCTTATTTTATGTAAGATCGAGTGAAGATCTCAGGTTCTTTAAGACTGAAAGGAACAGAGCAAAACTTTAAAATTGTGAGTAATTAACGTGAATAGGTTAAAATAATTTTCAATTACTTCCTTTTTCTGCACAGAACAGTGTCTCCTGACCATCATATAGAGTTAGTCAGACCCTCCCTTTCCAAAATTAAACCATCAATGAAGATCCAATTAAATGTCCAAAATCAAATGTGCTTTTTTTTTTAGCTTTCAGTAAAAACTGTAGTAAATTTCTACTAAGATCAGCATTTGACCTACATACACCCTGAGACCATCGCTGATGGGTCCAATTATATTTTATGTAGCTTGTGTCAACAATATCAATGCTGTACTAAAAGGGGGAGAAATAAAAACACTCCTTTTATGAGGTGAGTATAACGGAAGAGCAACAAAATTAATATGGAACTTAGAATTTATTAATACCAGGTTTTATCTTATTTCTTCCCAGTCTCTCACATTAGAAGAAAAATGTATTTAACATTCTAATATTCCAGGCTTAAGGTAGCATATTATTGATCAAGTGCAAAATGTTTCATCACCTAAAACTTCTAAGATTTCTGTATGAAGTGTGCATAGAAACAATTTCATATACAATGCAAACACTGGTTTTAAAGCGTTACTTCTATGTAAACTGTTATAGATTGCATTTCTTCCCCTTGTTAAACAACATTCTCTCGTTTGTAATGAATAAACTAGCTTAGACAGCTTGTTCAAATACTTCTGACCGGATGTTTACTTTCCGTTGTCAAACATGCTGCCAAACCAAGACTAAAGAGTTCATTTTTTTTTCTACTTTTAAATTATCTTTTCTTATCAGGCACGTCGACAGCTGGCCTTTCTAGAAGATGCTTCCCGCGCTTCCTCAGGAAAACATCTTGGATTTAGGAAAATATTTATCAAAGTGATAGAAAACAAAGCATTGCAGCCATGCAGAGGTTTTCTACATTCTGTCATACATTCATATTTGTTGATGTGAGCTGTTTCACATCCAGCAAATCTCTTATAAAAGACTTCCATCAAGTTCAGCCTTCTGTCAGTTTTCATTGGCTTCTGTGAATCCAGCTGAGGGGGTCAATCTGCTGCTGCTGTAGCAACAAATGAAAAACCCACTACAGCTAAACCATTCTGTCTTCCTCTGACTCTTCTTCCTCTACATCCTCATCCTCATCATCTTCCTCCTCCTCCTCCTCCTCTTCTTCCTCCTCCTCCCACGGGCTCAAGTCGTGGTCAGCCAGATCATCGTCATGGACCTCTTCCTCCTCTTCATCACTCCTAATTTCATCCTCGCTGCTGTCATCAAGGTCATCTTCATCGTCGTCTTCATCCTCTGCAGCCTCTTCCTCGTTCTCCTCATGATCTTCTTCCTCCGTTGGATCAGACAGGCTGCCTGATGGCCGATTGCATTAAGAGAAATGAGATTTTCTGTACATTGTAGATGTAGGAAACTAAAGGATAAAACAAAAGACGTACACAAGGAGTTGATCCCAGAGATGATGTGACACGGAAGATCATCAAGAAATCTGCTCATTTCTTCCTCCATCCTCAGGCTGAGGATCTCAGTCTCCATTTCAATGTACTCTGGGTAGAACATGTTCTTCCTAAGCTGCTTTCGGCACCTGGTGAGGAATAAGACACAGGATGAGTATACAAAAAATAAGGGATCCTCTATAAGTTGTTATAAATCCAAATATATATTTGGACTTATAAGAAATGCTTGCAAATCCACAAAGACATGATGAAAATGGATAGAAGTGGTACATACTGTTTTCCTGTGGTTTTATATGCCTGAAATTAAGATGAAAAACAGAATAAATTCTGTAGAATTCAATACAGGGAATTGGTTCTAATCAGTCTCAGGTTTTAAGTTCAATTTAATTTAATTTGCATTCATAATTCTGTTTTTTTTTTGTTTCTTCCAGCTAATAGTTATTGTAGGTTTTAAATTGAATTCATTTGAATGTTTTAGCTTTGGAGCTTTAATCATTAAACCTTAAAATAAGTTGGAGGAAAATCTCACCTCGACAAAGTGGAAAGGGTCGTTTTCCTGCATAAGGCTCTCGATGCCGCAGCGCACCTCTTGGAGGCGAGCTTGGTCCTGGCAGATCTTAGAGATGTTCTTCTGAATGGCTGAGCCATTGGTTTCACACTGAGTGCGCATGTATTCTCTCAAAGTGAGGATGAAGCGCTGCACTCTGGTCTTCATGTCCTCCTCCAAAAGAGTCAAACAGCCCTCTGCATCATCTCTGAACTTCTGCATCAGACATTAGACATGGAGGACGACGATAAAAAAACTCCACATCGAATCATCATAAGAGAACCCAAAACACAGTTGTCACAATCTATTTACAAACAACTTTCCCCTTCAACCACTGCTATACATCTGAGGAAACTTAAGTATTTGAAAATAAGTTTTGAGCAATTTTTCTGTGACCGATGAGGCTGGTTTGTAGAAATAACTGTTTTTAAGAAGTCTGCCTTCTCCTTTAGATTCAAGGTATAAACAATCTTCCATCCATGGTTGCATTGGGATGGTGCCAATGTCCAGCAGTCCCTGGGCAGAAGCAGGGTCCACCCTGGACCGGCTGCCAGTCCATCACAGTCAACAAATTGATCTTCCAGATTACAGTTTAAATATTATGCCTCGGCAAAAAAAAAAAAAATCGATTCAAGGTTTTTGTTTAAAAATGAAAAATAAATAAATATATTTTTTGTATAATGCCGCAAATGTTGCTCCCTGGAGCTTCAGTAGCTGGAGTATTACTTCCACCGTGCAGTTCGGCAAGCAAAATCATGGCTACTGGGAGAGTGGGAAGTTAGTCCTGAAAAAAGGAATAAAAATTATCCCTTGTTTGGAAAAGGTTTGGGTTGGCTGCAACAGACGTCACACCTACGGCCGGAAGGTGATGAAAACAAACAGACATCAACTCGAAATGTTTTTGGAAGGTAGGGTAGTTAGCAAGACGGTTAGCTATAAGGATGGGAATTTTCTGATGGCAAAAAAATTGACTTTATGTGGCAATTTTCTGATCATGGAATGTTTTTATTACGAACATGCTGGATTACTTTTTATCCGTAGACCCTTACGGACAAATTAAATGTAAAGAATCTAAGATTGGATTTTTAATAAGGCCTCTGGATCACTGCAAAGGTAAGAAGTCAAAGTTTTATTTTAAAATTCGGATTTAATATGCTGCTATATCTTTGTTAATTGTGCTTTGATGCTCATGGTGTCTAGGAAATGAACTTGGTCGTTGAATTGTGGAGAATCTAAGCTTTCTAAAAATGTATAACATGTCTATATTGGTAAAAGTTTAACTGTTATTTTCAATTGTACTGCTGTGTTTAATGTACACTACCGTTCAAAAGTTTGGGGTCACATTGAAATGTCCTTATTTTTGAAGGAAAAGCACTGTACTTTTCAATGAAGATAACTTTAAACTAGTCTTAACTTTAAAGAATTACACCCTATACATTGCTAATGTGGTAAATGACTATTCTAGCTGCAAATGTCTGGTTTTTGGTGCAATATTTACATAGGTGTATGGAGGCCTATTTCAAGCAACTATCACTCCTCCTTCTTGCTCATTGGCTCAGAAGGCTAATTGATGATTAGAAAACCCCTCTGCAATCATGTTCACACATCTGAAAACAGTTTAGCTGGTTACAGAAGCTACAAAACTGACCTTCCTTTGAGCAGATTGAGTTTCTGGAGCATCACATTTGTTGGGTCAATTAAACGCTCAAAATGGCCAGGAAAAGAGAACTTTATCTGAAACCCGACAGTCTATTCTTGTTCTTAGAAATGAAGGCTATTCCATGTGAGAAATTGCTAAGAAATGAAAGATTTCCTACAACGGTGTGTACTACTCCCTTCAGAGGACAGCACAAACAGGCTCTAACCAGAGTAGAAAAAGAAGTGGGAGGCCACGTTGCACAACTGAGCAAGACGATAAGTACATTAGAGTCTTTAGTTTGAGAAACGGATGCCTCACAGGTCCCCAACTGGCATCTTCATTAAATAGTACCCCCAAAACACCAGTGTCAACATCTACAGTGAAGAGGTGGCTGCGCGATTCTGGGCTTCAGGGCAGAGTGGCAAAGAAAAAGCCATATCTGAGACTGGCCAATAAAAGAAAAAGATTAAGATGGGCAAAAGAACACAGACATTGGACAGAGGAAGACTGGGAAAAAGTGTTGTGGACGGACAAATCCAAGTTTGAGGTGTTAGGATCACAAAGAACATTTGTGAGACGCAGAACAAATGAAAAGATGCTGGAAGAATGCCTGACGCCATCTGTTAAGCATGGTGGAGGTAATGTGATGGTCTGGGGTTGCTTTGGTGCTGGTAAGGTGGGAGATTTGTACAGGGTAAAAGGGATTCTGAATAAGGAAGTCTTTCACTCCATTTTGCAACACCATGCCATACCAAGTGGACAGCGCTTGATTGGAGCCAATTTCATCCTACAACAAGACAATGACCCTAAACACACCTCCAAATTTTGCAAGAACTATTTAGAGTAGAAGCAGGTAGCTGGTATTCTATCGATAATGGAGTGGCCAGCGCAGTCCCCAGATCTGAACCCCATTGAGCTGTTGTGGGAACAGCTTCACCGTATGGTACGCAAGAAGTGCCCATCCAACCAATCCAACTTGTGGGAGCTGCTTCTGGAAGTGTGGGGTGCAATTTCTCCAGATTACCTCAACAAATTAACAGCTAGAATGCCAAAGGTCTGCAATGCTGTAGTTGCTGCAAATGGAGGATTCTTTGACCAAAGCAAAGTTTGATGTAAAAAAAAAAATCTTATTTCAAATACAAATCATTATGTCTAACCTTGTCAATGTCTTGACTCTGTTTTCTATTCATTTCACAACATATGGTGGTGAATAAGTGTGACTTTTCAGGAAAACACAAAATTGTTTCGGTGACCCCAAACTTTTGAACGGTAGTGTAAATATGCACAACAGAGTGCCAGCTATCAGATGGATTCCTAGAGGTTAATAAGTAGGGGAGAAAATCGGGAAAAAAAATTGTAATTCGAATGAAAAAAAATCTGAAATTTTATTTTTAGGCCAAATCGCCCAGCCCCTGCTAAAAAAAAAAAGGCAAAGGAAAAGAGGAAGCACACAAATATGCTCGTATTCCAATTCTCTGAATTTCTGTGCGCTCCAAGTCCGAGCTCGATGCAGCCGACCCGGGTTCGATTTACACCTGTAGTCCTTTGGCGCATGTTTCTCTTTACCCCTTTCCTGTCAGCTTACTGTCGAAAAAACGAGCCATTAGAGCTGTAAAAACTAATAAATAAATAAATAAATAAAAGAATGGATTTGATGAGAACAATTTCAAGTTCTTGTGAATTGAGTAAATTTTGTTCTGAAATTATTTAAGGCTGTTTAATACGTTGATCTGATCTTTATTTTAAAGCTCCAGCTGAAACAAATGCTATAATCTGCCAACATCTAACAGCCCTTCCTTTCACACTAAGTATTGCTGTCAGCGCTGTAGTCTGGGAAACCAAAACCAACTTTGGTTCCCTTTCTGTGCTAATAGCCAATTCCAGTTTTAAGAGATTTGCTTTTGCATCATTATAGCTGTGGCTTCAGATGGAAAACAGCTGCATCCATGTGACTGCTGCAAAGCTCTTGTTTTCCAAACAGCAGGTTTGTCTGTGGTTGTTGTACCTTGTTTTGTCGCTCCTTGTCCTTCTGCTCCTGTAGTTTCCTCTCCGCCATGCTGTTCTTCCTCTCCAGCCTGTATAACTGTTTATCCAGTGAACTCTGGGGAATATTAACAGCAAAGTGTTTCATAAAAACATTGTAGGACATATCGACTTCAAAAAGATTCTCATATAAACACAGGTATATATGGCAGCAACAATGTTTGGCCTCTACAGCTGCTGAAATCCTTGTTTGATTTCAATCAAATAAAAGTTACCTTCATAACTAAACATCCTGTACTAAGCTAGTTTATCGTATTTCATTTGGAAGTTAAATCCTGTCTGCATCTATTTTGGTATTTTTGCGGTATTTTTCTTCCACTGCAGTGAATTGGAAGCATCTCTATGGAACCAGTTCAATAGAAACAAAGTTATTAATCATTATGATGCTATTCCTTCATCTTGATTTTAGTGTCGAGACTTTGCCTTTACTTTGCATTGTTCAGATAAGTGGAAGCTTATCCGAGCCAGATACATAGATACAAGTTTGTTTCATGAGCTGATGTTACATATTACATTTTAGAAAATGCCATTTCTCAATATCCTTACCTAGATGGGTATTTAAAATGAAATAAAACATACAATACAACACAGATTAAGAGGCACAATATGACTGAGTTTTTTAAGAAGGACCCAGCTGGTCTCTCCAGTCAGTTCAGTGGGCAAAGGGATTGGCGCCCTGAAACGAGAAATATAATTGACGCGATGATGTTTTCCGTCTCTGTATTTGATGATTCCCGTACTGAGCTCCTCTGGCCTAGGTGCCCACAGTCCTGAGAGGATTTACCCACTCAGTAAAGTGGGATTTCATGGTGCATAATTAAAAACAACTTGAAGGGATTCAATTTCATAAACTTTTCAAAAGTTAATATTTGTTGTTTAGTAACAATATGGACATCTGAGTGTAAAATAGAGACTTTTGAACAAATAGTTAAAGTGTTTTCTTTCCTTCAGATTCCATTGGCAAAAATTGGACATCTCAAACAATTGGACAAGTCAAATAATGTCTGTAGTTCGCTACACTTTAGCTTATGAGCATTAATACCTTCATCCTATTTAGAAAGACACAAAAATACTTTGACTTTTTGTTTATGTACTGGATCTTATTTTAGTAGCAAATATGGTTGAATTCCAAGTTATGGAAGGAATTTTTTAATGTTTCAATTAGAGATGTCCCGATCCAGGTTTTTGCACTTCCGATCCGATACCGATATTGTTTTTGGACTTCCGATCCGATACCGATACTGGCCGATACCAGCCTATCCGAGCATGTATTTAAGTTTAAGTTAAAGTATTTAGCCTTAGTTGTAAGACTCATGTTGAAATGGGTTTTAGTACTCTTGATAACATCTAGCCAGCTAATTAGGTGAGATTGAATAAAACACAATGCTTGGTAACAACAAACTTACCTGTTTATTAAGAGATAAACACAAACTGGACAAAATTACGAATAGCAATCTGAAATTGCACAGTGAGCAGTAAAACCGTAAACAGTTAAAGGTGCAAGTATTACTGTAAGTTTTAATAAAAATGCAAAACAGGGGAACACTGGCGCAAAATAGTGGAATGGATCGTTTCAATCGGCGAAACTGGAAAATACGGACCGGATTTTTTCTAAAAAACTGGATCGGCGGTCTGGATCGGCATTTTACATGCTTTGCCGATACGCATTTTTTTGCCAATATCGGCGTCCCGATCCGATACGTGGATCGGATCGGAGCAAGCCTAGTTTCAATGTCTTCCAGGCTCTCAGACCGGATCTTTTCATGGGATCAAATTCATCATTCATAAAATGCTCAAACCACATGAGATGAGGGTGGACTGTTAGGTAACAGTGAATAAATGTGACCTGCTCCCAGACTTAGCAACGTTTATGTTATGTAGGCCCTTCCTGTAATAACTGGGATTCAAATATGGTCCCCAGGGTCAGACGTACACCACTTCATTATGATTGACCTCCACAACCACAACTACAGCGCAGTAGAAGACCATGTAGCATGAAATAAAACTGACCATTTTCACACAGCTGAAGGACCAGTGCATATCTGGTCTCACCTGCATGCCAACAGATTAGTTTCCATGGTTACTGCTGCATACTCTCCACACATTTTGTAATTATAGCAACATATATTTTTCTAAGTCCAGGATCTGTGGTTGAGTCATTTTGTTGAAAATATCTCCCGGTTTGTAGTCTGTCTGGGTACAATAATGGCTGCACTATCTCATCCTAGATGAGAGAATCCTGCAGTCGTTAACTGGATGCAATCAGCTGGTTTTCCTTAAGAAACTTTGAGCCAATCTCACTGGACAATCTGATTCAATGATTCTGTAAAGAGCTTTCAGGTGACAGGTGCTGTGAACTGGAGCTCTATGAATAACAATGAATTAAAAGGAAAAAGCTCCTAGAGAGTCCTGTTTGTACCTTTAGGTCCTTCATGGTGTTTTTCAGAGTCTTGATGGTGTGTCCTGAGTGGCCTCCCTCTATGGTGCAGGCGTTGCAGACACACATCTTGTCATCCATGCAGTAGTATCTGGAGGGGAACATGAGACAAACACATCAGGTGAGTCTTAAAAATCTTAGTAATATGGAAAGAAACATTTATTAAAAAATTGTAAAAATGTTTACAGTCGACATGCTGCAGCCATGATAATCACATTTAATTAATTTTAATGCCAATTATGCCCTTTTTTGTTTTTACGGCACTAGTAGCTAAATTTTTCTACAGTAGGCTGACAGGAAAGGGGGAATGAGAGACATGGGAAAGGACAACAGGTCGGATTCGAACTCGGGTCCCCCACGTCGAGGACTAAGGCCTCCGTAGATGCATGATAACCACTGCGCCACCTGTGGAAAGCCTGTTTATGTTTATGGCTCTGCAGAAGCAGGGATCACAGCTTTGATGCAGTAACTTTCTCTGTGCAAGCTTCAGGATCAGCTACTCCGATTGGTTGACAAGCTGCAAAGTTCGGGTTTTCCAACTCCAAGCTTCTAACCCTTTGGACATTATGTCCCACTAAAGAAGACCAACTCAGATTCTACTTTTATATTTGGACGTCGCAAAATCCTGGATGGCCCTAAATGTCTAAATGAGAAGATAAAGGTGGAGATTTTTTAGAAGTCCCAATGAAGACTCCCTGACTGATGTTGGCTCTTTGGCCCAGTGTGTTGCGCCTATTATTAAAAATTTTGGTGTTAAAGTAGATGCTAGTCTCAGGTATGAAACTCAAAATAGAGCCGTTGTAAAATCCAGGTTTTTCCAGCAAAAGTAAAGCATATTTTTTCACAACAGCATTTTGAAACAGTAATAAATGCCTTTCTAACCACTTGCCAGAGTTACAATAACGCACTATATAATTGCCGCAGTAATTTGTGCATTTCCCAAAAATGTAATTAATTTGTACATTTCAGGATTTACTTTAAAATACTAAGTTACTCTAAGTGGCCTTGCCAAAATTACCTGTCTGAGCTTCTATATCCTTACACACCTCTCATTCCCTTGAAACAGCTGACCGGTTTGCAAAGCACAAACTCAGAGGGAACCAGGCTTTTTCTGTTCAGCTCTTAAGCTGTGGAATATCCTTCCTTTGGGCATAAGACAGGCCTCTTCAATGACAGATCTTAAATCTTAAGGCATATTTATTTTCTTTGGCTTTTGACACAATCTTAGATGTTAACTTAGTTTATTTCATTATTTTATTATAGCTTTTGTTTTATTACTACTTTATTGTTTTATGATTGATCATATGTATGTTATGCTTGCATATTTGGTCTTGTTGAGTGTTTGAAGTGCTTTATAAATGAATTTGGTATTGTATGGACACACATCTCAAATTTCTTAAAGTATTGTGGGACAAGAAGCATCCATTATAGACTGTGCATTAAAATCCGACGCCCCGATGATGTAAAAAAAGCGTTTGGTGTGAATGCAGCAGAACTGTGTGGTCTGAAATGGCATTTGTTGAATGTTCTGTGTTTGGTTGTATTTTTTAACCCCATAGGACTGAAGAAGTAAACTAGCCTTGGGTTAAATTTTATGACATCATTTTTATACAACTGGAACTATAAATATTCCAGAAGTCAGCATCTTTACAGCTTTATGGCAAAAACACAAGTTTTAACCATTTTTAGTTATTTCCCCTCCTACCTATAGATTTCGTCGTGATCCAGGCACTTCCTCTTCCAGAAGTCCTGCATCGGTTCCGTGAGAGGATGTTCTCGAAACGCCGGCAGCTCCAGGTGCGGCTTTAGGTGGTTTTGACACATCGACACCTCACACTTGAGGCATGTCTTGATTGCTAAGGTGGACAAAGAGGCTTCCTTCTTGTCCTTGCTTTCCAAAGAGATGGAGGCATCAGAGGAAGCATCTCCAGCGATGCTGAATCCTGAGGCCTCTGCAGCAGCAGGATGGCAGTAGTCGCACTGAACATCAACCCCAGTCTTTACTCGCTGCATCGTTGAAGAAAGCAATTCCTGGGCCACTGAAGCCGAGGCTGCTGCAGCCGGGGCTCTCCGCCTTCGACGGTAGTCATCAACAATGTTAGCTAGTTTGAAGTTTTTCTGGAAGTTGGTGCCACCCCGATGGCTTTCTCGGCACTCTGGACAGCGTACCCGACCTCGTTCCGCCTGCCTTTTCAGACGATCCAGGCAGGCTTTACAGAAGTTGTGCCCACAGGGCAGCAGGTGGGGGTCCCGGTATAAATCCAGACAAACTGGGCAGGTGAGCTCCTCATGTAGGACGCTGCTGTGTTCGAACTGGGCTGAAGCCATAATGCGTCTACAAAGCTGTGGATTCAGAGGAGGATCCAGCAGACTGAGAAAACTGTCATAAGACAAATCCATTAGAGACAAGGTTTTTTTCTAGGACTGCACTTGTGGCATCTTTAAAAAGCCTGACCGGACTATTCCAATCTTTTTTTTATGACGAAAATTTCAGTTGATATAGATATCAGATAATAAGTTCAAGATCTAATTGTGAAAAAAACATTAATCAGTACCTAGGAAACAAAAATTTACCTTATAACTGCTCTCAAATATAAATGGAAGTCTAGCACATTGACAGAGGGAAATTAGACCATCACAGAATTTCACATGTATCAGTGAAACAGATCCACCCTACAATTTTTAATATTTAAATTTTACAATAATTTCACAACTTTATAAATATTGTTACCCTTGGTGGACCTGATTTTCTGCTTTGGTGTTAAAATGACACTAAACTGTGAGCTTAGGTTTAATGTTGTGATTTGAAAGAGTCTGTGGATAAAAATGGATTTAATCAACCAAGAAATGCTTAAATAGAAACAAGTAATGGAGGCCATTTGACTCTTAAGTCAGTTAATTAAATACATTAAAGTTGTGGATATATTAGCAAAGTGCTCATTTCTAAAGTAGTTAAGGTTTTGGTATGGTGATTTGAAAAACAAAAGCAAAATATAAAACACAGTTCAGATTGTATCTGGTATCTGACATTTAATAATGATATAAAACAAAATCAAAAGCAAAAATATACATCTGAGTTCCAAGACTGCGCCTTAAATACTATACAGCAGTGGTTCTCAAACTTTTTCTGTCATTCCCCACTTTGGACAAGGGGGAATTTTCAAGCCCCGCCTGTCCCCATCGCCCCAACACAATGCTAATGAAATATGCAACAATCTTAAAATTTTCCAATTTTATTGAAGTAACAAGTAGTATCTAAATACAAACTATCTACATCAAATAACAGCAAGCTCAAAAATAAAGAAAATAAAAATGCAGCTGTGTCAAAATTTGTATCAAGCTCAAAGATAGAAAAAATTAAAGTGCCACTCTGCAATCTGTTAATAAAAGAAAAGAAGTGAAATCCATCTGGCAATACAGCTCTATTTATCCCTGCATTAGTGGCTGCAATGAGCCTGTTTTGCATTGCACAGTTTCTCAAAACGGGGTTGCAGGCTTGATACTGCCACTCTCAAGTCATGCTCAATGTTCAGCTGAGATCTGTATTTTGTTTTCAGTGAAGCAACAGTTGAAAAGCCCATCTCACAGAGATATGATGTGGCAAAGGGAAGAAGAATGCACACAGCTCTCTGCCCGATGAGTGGATACTCCCTCTCCACTCCAAACCAGAATTCACTATTAGTCTGAGCATTAAACCTGAGCCTCAGGGTGGAGTCAGACGTAATTTCAATAAACTGGTCCTATTTATTTAAGATAAAATATTTCAAATTCAGTTATTTATGATCAACCTGCGCCGTCAATCCCGGCGCATGTGCGCTTTATTTGCAGTCTGGACGCTGAGGGTAAACATGCTGTGTCTCTGCAGCACTGAGAGGGACTTCTGCGATAGCGGGGGAGAACGGGGTTGGGACGGAGGCGCCCCACGGCAGCACCTGCCGCTGGAGGACAAGAAAAGGAACGATACGTGCTTTCACGTAAGAGTCTCCTAAAGTCGCTAATTTGTCGCTAGTCCCTTTTTTAAAAAGAGTCGCTGGAGGGGTCTAAAATATAGCGACAAAGTCGCTGAGTTGGCAACACTGGGGCGCGAAAGTTTATTCCGTTACAAATAATATGCCGACGTCACGTCAATCATTATTTTGGCACTTCAGTTCCAGGTGAAATTTTTCTCATATCTAATGTTCTTTTAATTAGACTGCATGTAGGCTATTAATGATTACTTTGTGGGTTTGATTGGTCTAAAAAGCGGCAACATACAGCTTTAAGGACAGTTTGCTCTCACACATTCTATATTTATAGTCTCACACACACACACACACACACACACACACACACACACACACACACACACACACACACACACACACACACACACACACCGGAACTTGGCGCGCCCCACCTGTCACGTCTCAATTCCCCACCAGTGGGTCGCGCCACACACAGAACTGCGGCTATACAGAAAGGCATAAAAAAAACCCCATCAAAATAACAGCTATTTGGAAACAAACACCAGCTGACTAAATAAAGCATTGAAACCTGCAGTCAGCCGAGTTAGCTGCTGTGTTTAAAGGCTATGACACTGGAGATAAGCTGGAACCTGCTGTTTTTCACTTTAAATGAAAACAAACTACCGTTTCCTGCTCTGTTTCTGTCACAGTTTGATTTAGTTTAACTGACAGCCCGGGCCTCTACACGGATTGATTCAAACAAATTAAAGTAAATGTGTGAAATTCTCGTCGGAACAAGCCGCTCAGTCAACCGCCAGTTAGCAGCACTGGCCACCTGCTCTAATCTGCATTAGTTCCGCATCTGATAAGCTAAAGCAAAAGAACTCAAAAACAGACACTTACAGCTTTTTATCTCTATAATGTAAATGTTTTATGGAGTCTAAACGTCACAGGGCTGCTGGTCTCCAGGGCAGTAGATATCTCTCGGTGAGGCTAACGCCTGAAATCTGGAAGCCGCGCTACACCTGTCCTGCTTAGGCTAACGCGTTAACGTCACAACTCAGCTCCTCCTTGTTTCCTGACAGATAAAGCCCTGAAACACTCCGGTATTAACCCTGTAAACAGTTCAACCAGTGGCCGTTCAGCTTACCCGTCTGGAGTTTTCGGTCTCTAACGGGAAATATCGAGGCGAAGCGCTCACCTGTATCCAGACAAACGAGCACCGAACTGAAACCAAAGCAGAGCGGAGAGCAGAGTGATGCGGGGGAAATGATGCCTTTAGTGACCCTCGGAACTCTAAGAATCAGACCGACCGTTGATACATTTTTACAAGCTTTATAGATATAGACTTGCTGTGTAAGGCGTTGCTCAAAGTACCGTGACAGTTGCTATAAACCTCAGAAACTAATTAATTTAGTTGGTGTTTCTATTGAGTTGATTTAAAATTATACAATTTGCGTGTTAGACATGTTTTGTTGTTTTATGGTTAAAACATGACTGTTCTACTAAGTAATCGTTTTTTTTAGTGAAAACGCTTGTAATAGAAAAGCATAAAACGTCCTTGATCATCAAAATAATTTCTACAAGGCTGTAGGTCTATTTCACTTATTTCAGATTCAATAACCGGATTTCCAATAGTACGTAAATGTGTCTTGAACGTTTTATGTATTGTAGACTATGTACAAAACTGTCTTTAGACTTAGACAGATTTTATTTGTCATTTTGATTACACAAGTGTAAAAAAAAAAGAAAAAAGAAAAGAAAAAAAAAAAACTTTCTCTGGACAATTCATCTTTTTTAAGATATCTATCTATCTATCTATCTATCTATCTATCTATCTATCTATCTATCTATCTATCTATCTATCTATCTATCTATCTATCTATCTATCTATCTATCTATCTATCTATCTATCTATCTATCTATCTATCTATCTATCTATCTATCTATCTATCTATCTATCTATCTATCTATCTATCTATCTAGAATTCGGGAAATACTATATTTTTCTGCAGAAAACTGTACACAAACAACATGCAAAGAAATTTACAGCTAATACACAAAATGTTTGTCACAATATCAACGTCTTACCTCTATTCTATTGTGAAAAATCTCCACCTTATCCCTAGTTAACCCCCACGCCTCTCCAAACAAACTAACCCATAGTAGGTTTCCCAATTAATAGTAAATACAAAACAAATAATCACATCCCTACATCAGAGAATGTGGATTTTTCAAATTGATTCACCCAGGTGACTTATTGTGACAGTCCCCCAGCTAAAACACCAAAAAAAAAAAAAAAAAAAAAAAAAAATCTGATGTAGAAACCTTATTTACACCTGAGGATGGTGTCAAACATTTGGTTTTAGCTCCAAAGTATCCGAACAAATGTGCAGCAAATGTTCAAAATTATGCCAATAATATGTAGAAACTGCAGTAAGACATCTATCTATAGTTAATTAGCAAAAAAAAAAGGCTATTTAAGGGTAATTAGTCCTTCAAATGTCATTTTTTAACCAACTTGCCATCCACCTAGATGGTTTATAGTTGATTTTGGCAAAATGAATGGTCCCAGAGTTCTATGCCACTTCCAGTTAACTTTTGACAGTCAATTTTTAACTAGGCTCATTTTGTGTCATAGTTGTCTTTTATTATATCTTTATTCAACATGCAATTTTAGCAATAGTAATGAGCTTTTCTTCCAGTTTAGTTTGTTACAGTTGTCAGGAGTCATAAACAGAATGGGGTGAACAGCAACCAGGGTCTTTTCGGCAGAAATTACATTTGATGGGTCAGAAAAAATATATAACATTCAGGCATATGGAGGATGATCAGTGCCACAACAAATTAAATAAATAACTTGTGTTATTGTAATTAATTTTATTGTGTAGTAATTATCTAAACGCATCATAATTTTTTTTAAAGCTGTAAATAAATACAGAATTTATCAAATAAATATGAAATTAAGCATACTGATTTAATTTTAAGAAATAGTAATATTTAGTAGTGTTATTTTGTCAATTTTTCTGTGGAAAAAGAAACGTATTGGAAATTAAATAATTAAATGTACAGTTTATTCATTAAAAATACATTTACCTTTAAATTGTTAAGTAATTCAATAATTAGAGGTGTCATTAAATCCAGTTCAAATGTTTGTTAAGCAACTTTAGTTATTTAAACACACTGAATCCCTATTATCGGGTTAATAGATGCTTTACTGCTAAAAAATGGTGGCTTTCACTATGAAGCAATCAGTAGAACTATTCCTAAAATGCTCTGATAGCCTAATTTCTCATGCTTAATTTTATGAGTGTGTCATTCAGAGAAATATTCAGGATGATGGAAAAGTAGTGTATCACAGCTGTATTTCTGCTGGAAAGTCTTTCAGATACTACATAAAATCGCCCCAAAATTCACTGACTTTTGGCCCGACTGGAGAATTTTTAAGGTAAACCTTAACTCCTTGAATAATTACAAAGACATTGTGTCACAGCAGAAACTTCAGACCATAAAAATTATGACTGAATATTGAACGAGTCAGTTTTGTCTACAGAATAACATTAGGTACCTCCATGCGATGCATGGGGCATGGAATGTCATGGTGCCAGGCAGCGGTGGCTGGTGGAGCTTTCTATAGGGGGGCATATAAATTCAAAATAGATGTTTACCAAAAGCCATTCAAACGTTTACTAAATTATCACCCCAGTATATTTATATGAATGCTAAAAAAAAAAAAAACATTATAAAAACACTTTATAAAAACAAAAACATTAATTACTACTTTTTTTTTTTTTTACATATACATATAAAGGGCACAGAAGAACTGCTTGCCCCTTCCCCTACCCATGAAAAAATCTGTGGATGGGCCGAGCGATTGTTGATAAACTTCTATCTTATCAAGGACATTACCTGTGGTCAGCGTTCACAGACAAATTGATCGCACTCATCATACACACACAATAATGTGTCTCAAATGTCAGACTGACTTAACGTGATTAAGCCTCTAATGTGACCCTCTGCTGAAATTTCTGTCTTGTGTTACATTGTGCTGCCATGGCATTGACTGCTTTCCTTTTCCAATGGAGAGAAGAGGTAATCCCATTCTAATTTACTTTCCACCCAACTTCAAACAAGGCACCCTCCAGAGCTGCGAGTGTGACTTCATTGGGAGTGACACTCGATAGTTATGGGGTGGTGCTTAGGGAGTGGTTTGCCTTGATTACTTCTATTTCACTCCTAGGATTTAAGACAAAGTGTCTCCAGTGCTTGTCCTCGAGTGCTTGTCCTACTCTCCTGCAGATTTTAGATGCATCTCTGAACCAGCAGGGGTGGTGTACTGATGTTGGCTGGCATTCAGATTAATGAAAGTAAACCTCTGCAGTTAACCAGCAAAAGTCATGGTCCTCTCTCTAACCTGACCGAAGCCCAATTGACAGTTTTTGAAGGAAAACAGTGCACCTCTCTGAGCAGTTTGTGTTATGTTCACTGCAAATTTAAAAATAAGTAGCATAAATGCACTTATAAATAAATGCATTTACCCTTCATTTGAGTAAGTTAATAAGATGATCTGCCATTGGAATTAATATTTTTTACTCTTATAAGAAAATTAGATATTAGGCAGTTGAAATAAATGCAAATTATTATCTTAAATGTGAATTGTCTTATTTGATTGGCAAATGGTCACACCAGCTTAGTTCAAGAAAAAAAAGCAGCTATAAAAAAAACAATTTATTTTTTCTTTTGCAGTGTTGTGATTGCTGCTGAGTAAGAAGTCAACAGATCAACAAAATGATAGACTCTGTGATTAGAAGGCTTATTACTTTTATTACAAAGAAGGGTGGCTATATTGGCCAGTGTTTTTGGGAAGGTTGAGGTTGTTTTTATCTAATTCTCTCTCAAACAAATAGAAAAAAAAACATTTTTAGAAACATTTTTTTTCTCATTTTAATTGTGTTATAATTCTGCGTAATGATAGTTTCATATTCAGCTAAGAATCAGAATCAGAAATACTTTAATAATCCCAAAGGGAAATGACTGTTGTTACACGCTCCAGTTACAGTTTTATATGATATATACACACATCCAATTATACAATATAATAATGATAAAAAGTATATATATCTGTACGTATATCTATGCATATGTAAAAACTAAATCCAAATAAAGTGAAAATCCAAGTAAAGTGATAAATCCAAGTAAAGTGATCCGTGGCGTGCAAAAATAGTGCATAAATGTCAATTAAGGGGGGGGTGGCTGAATCACTTGAGGGAGGCGTTATATAGATTGATGGCCACAGGTAAGAATGATTTCCTGTGGCGCTCTGTGGTGCATCTGGGTAGGAGGAGTCTTCTGCTGAAGGAGCTCGTCTGCTGGACAGCATCCTCCTCTCTCCCCACGGTGGTCAGGGTGTCCAGCTGCTCCCCCACAACATCTCTTGATCAGTTTGTTCAGTCTGTTGTTTTCAGCGACCCTCAGCCCAGTGCCCCAGCATGTGACAGCAAAGAAGAGCGTGCTAGCTTAAACAAGCTAGCTTAAGAACCTTAAACATCAATTTTACTTTATTGAGCAGCCGTTTCAGCTATATTACTATTTCTGGATTAATCAAGAGCACAATAGTTTTTAAAAAATCTGTTTCACTTTCTCTCTCCTCTGTGTTGCTGAGTATTCAATTCAATTCAATTCAATTCAGTTTATTTATATAGCGCCAAATTCACAACACATGTCATCTCAAGGCACTTTACAGTTCAACCAGATCATACAGTCAAATTGATACAAAGTTTTCTATCTAAGGAAAACCAGTTGATTGCATTGACTCAAATACAATCCCTCACACTAAGCATATGCTTGTAGCGACAGTGGAGAGGAAAAACTCCCTTTTAACAGGAAGAAACCTCCAGCAGAACCAGGCTCAGTGTGAGCGGCCATCTGCCGAGGCCGACTGGGGTTCAAGGAGACAGAAGCAGAGAAACAAAAAGCACCTGTGAAAGGCGGCCCCGTCCAGGAAACACACAGCCAGGCAGACAAGCTCCAAGGCAGCTCCCATGCCAGAGGACGAAGAGAGCACATCCACTCAGTCACGGTCAGAGAAACAGGACCACACTGGAAAACAGGCCGATCTCCAACATCTATAAACAAGGGTGTTGATGGAAGCAGCACAGCTGATGTTTCTTTCCAGGATGACGTCACAGCCAAACAGGAACAGATGAGGCAAAGCTACTCTGAGGAAAAGCAGAGAGAGCAGAAGGTTAGAGA